CATAGCAATTATCTATGGGGTGTGGAGTTATGGGTGATCCATATTTTACCTTTTTAATTTCTTCACTTTCTGAGTTTTCTAAAGTGTGAACGTTGTTAGTTAAATGATCACTAAAAAATACCCTTTATAACGAAGCATGCATTTCTAGCTGTCATCTGGCATAGTCAGAGGTCAAACGTAAGCCTTGGTTTAGTTACACCTCAGTAAATGAAGAAAAGATATTAGACCATAACCGTTATGATATGTCCAAAGGAAAGAGCAAAAAGGGAAATAAATGGAATAATGCATTATTTCCCTTTATAAAATAATTTAATTTTTTCTTTATTATTTTTCTCTACACTGCCCTCATTTTTCTGTTTTGTTTTATTTAAAAGCAACTACCATGAAGATTGTCAAGCAAAAAAAAAAAAAGATTGTCAAACAAATTAGACCATCATCTATAAGGAAAAGGTTTAGAATTAAAAAAAAAAATGTTCTCCAAGTGAGAGCTTGAATTCTGCATCTAAAATCTTTCATAGTGTTCCATTTAGGAACACATTTGTTGCTAAGCCCGTGGCTGAGAACCCAGAATGCAATTTTTGGTAGAAATGTGGTGATCAGACATAAGGTTCAGCACACAAAAGGTACTCAATCTTAACGTTGTGAAACACAGACTTTAACAGATGCAACCATCAGGCAGATACCATTTCAATAGAAGGAACGATTTCAGACTTGTGTGTGGGAGGCCAGAAGTCCACCTTTTGCAGCTGCAGAGTCAGCATGGACTCTGCCTCCCTTTCTAGTCCCTGTAAGAAGAATAAGGACTCTCTCTTTCCTGGGCCCTAGTGGTAGCTCCTGTAGCTTGTGTCAGCATGGCTGGTGGGCTCAGAAAGGGACACAGGACCCGGGGGAAGAACTCCCAGACTGGAGCTGGAGGGCATCCTACCAATGTGATTTCAGCAGAGACATTTCCAGATCCCTGTTCATCTCCAAATCATACCCTTTCAGTATCCCAGCAGCCCCAGGGATCGGCCTGACTGCTGTCCTTTCCCTGACAGCTAGCTGGGGTTGACAACTAAACTGTCTCTTCATCCTGGTCCATGTTCAGCAGAATGCAATGTCTCCGCTTCCCTGTAGCTTCTAATTCAGAAAGCAAGCCCAGTGGCCTTATGGAGATTTTGTTAGTTTATATTTTAATGGGTGGGGGAGAGGAGGATAGGGAAACGTAATCTTACATGCACAGTGCTCTGTAGGGTATATGAATAATAAAGGAAGATTTGCTCTCTTTTCAAAAGAAAGCTAACCGCAGTAGCTCAGGGTAGTGAAAGAATGCCGTCCTCAGGATTTTCAGCTACACTCCTGTGGACTATCGAAAAAGGAGTAAACGCCAGTGGAGAACATGGCTGGAGATGTCATCACCAAGTGCATGGCCAGCCCTGGAGGCTCTGGTGGGAGTGCCGCGGGCTGCTCTGTTTGCGCCCTTCTGGACTTCTAGTTCCATAGTGGTGACTGACTACTCAGCATAAAGGGGGAGGTAGCCCAGCAGAACCTGAGTCAGAGGGACAGGCCGTTGCATGAAGTTCTAAAGGGCAGGAGTACCTGGGTGGTGCGAATGGGTAGTGTGCCTGGAACCTAACTGCGAGTGTGGCGATTTGAGTGCACACCTTGCAAGAGAAGGTTGGAAATCTACTTCCCCCAAAAATCAACCATTGATTTTTTTGTTTGTTTTACTGACATATGTGGGTTGCTGTGAGTCAGGTAATTTATTACAGAGGGATAAAGGGTCCCTGTGACCTCATACTATGCACTGCTGGGATGGCCATTTCTTGATGGTCTTTTGTAGGTAAGGGTCATATTGAAGTCATATAGACCACGTGCAACATGCCTTGACATTGTGGTTCCACACCAAAGCCACCTCAGCCCTATTTCACATAGAACAATCGCGGACTATAGCTGTCGTTCTATTCCTGGGAGACCAGAGATCCAAAAAGTCAGCAGAAGGCAGGAAGAGCAATCCTTAGAATTCATGTGCACACACAATTCTAAAGAACACAACTGGTCCTAAATTTAAAATGAAAGAAAGGTGAAAAGCATATAAGCAACATTTTCCCTATCCATGCATTGTTCCTTCTTTAACTCCTTCTCTATGCAGAAAGCAGCAAGGGTTAGATAAGAGAGACTTAATTAGCTAAGTACTCTAACCTTCTGGCCATGGCAAAGGACCTAAAGCTGAGATGCTGGAAGAGGTCATCTTTGACCCTGAAAGCTCACCCTGATATCCACCACACGCATGTTCCCGGCATATATTTTCACCTGCCTGAACCCCTTCGTCCATTAAACCTAAACACTGAGATACTTCCAGCCCACCTGCTGCCATGCCTAGCCACCCTCAATCTCTCCAAAATAGTCCTTCTATTTTCCTACTCTGCCTTCAAAGCTTGCCAGACACACAGTAGTGTTAGGTCTTATTCTTAACAGCTGATTAGAGTGGTTCACACCAAGGAGTAAACGAGGCATAATGGGGGGCTGATTCCTATTTTTAAAATTTTAAAAGAAATGTAAAATACATGAGAGAAGTCATTGTACATACTTGAACTGGACCATCTGGGCTCAAAGCCTATTTCGGTTTACAAGAGTTCCTAATTACAGGTCCTCCTAATTTCACCTCCAAGAGCATTCAGAGTCCTTGTTATTTGTTTGCCTCCTAAGTCACTCTAAGAAGTCTGATCCCTCAACAAGGAGGAGGAGGAAAAGTCGGTGGCCCAGGAGAGGAGGAGGGGTAGGGGAAGAGGAGGAGAAGGAGATGGTGAGGAAGCATAGAGAAAAGAAACGGGGATACAAACAAGCTGGAGAAAAACATCTTTTTTCTCTGTCCTCACACCCTGTAAAGTGGGTGTCCACGCCCCATTTAATCAAAACTTGTATCTATCAAATGCTGCCACTTGTCAATAGAGGTGACTATCCTCTGTGAAACTGCCTTTGAAAGCATTCGCTAATTTGTGCTATTTAATAAAAGAGAAATCATGCTTGGTTTGCTAATACCGTCAGCTGTTTACACGCAGTGCCACATTCCTAAGGGAGAACAGGAACAATGTCCCACTCAAGAAAGGACAACCGCAAAAGCATGTGTAGGCACACCTAGGCTTACTCTCACCCTTGAGCATACCAATCCAAGAACTCTGTTTTCCTCCTGATTCTAGAAAACCAGGGCTCCTGATCTTTCTCGGGAGGCAGCGAAAATGTGCACAGCTATGCTTCTGCCAGTCGGCAAACCGGGTCTCAGTCTGCCACCTGAGTTACTTTGGGGGGCTGAGGCATCACTCTTTGCAGGGGCCACGGGGCCAAGTCACCAAGAAGATTGCAAGCATTCGAATCAAGTTCTCAGACTGTGGGCCTCAGAGCTACTTGAAAGCTGCTTATAAAACAAGGATCAAGTGAAACTTTGATACATACATCAAGTCACGACTAAGGGGCAGGTTTGCAAAATCCATTGTGCAGCTTTTAGACTCGCTGCACATTTACCACATATGTCCTTTATTACACAGTGGAAAACCATTAAATGCACAGTAGTTTTGCCAAGTGGCATTATGCATTTAACAGCTTTATTCGTTTAACAGCTCCAACTCTCATTATACGTTGCCATGTGGTACAAGGGAGTTTATGCATTTAACAGTTTAAGAAGGCTCTATGGTCTTTTCTTTTCATGTGTTTGCTACCATGGTTGGCCATCATGTCCTTGTAAATGGACTTCACCGATTTCACTGATAGGAGACAATCAGAGTAATGTGGTGAGATCACTGGACTGAAACTGAAGAGGGAGATACAGAGTGCAGTCCTCTTCAAAGCTCCTTGGTACTCTAGCCCTCTCCCTTTACCAACATCTGAAACATAACTCAAGTCATGGTACTGCAAGAACACAGGTGAAAATGGCTAATCCCCAAGCCATATACTCAATCTAAAGGGAACATTTAACCATCACTGTGAAATCTTTAATGTTTTATTGCAAATTGGATTATCTTCTTGTTCAATGGAAATGCAATATCCAGTAACTTCTTTTCTTTATAGCACACAGCAGGTCTGTTAAAAAGATGATTGACCGTTTCAGCATTCACATATGTAGGAATTAAAACATTTGCCATGTGAGGCCACAGAGGAAATCAAGCTCAGAATCAAAGGATGCTCCGGATTGTGCTTTAACTTTCCTCTCCTCCACCCTGCATCAAGTCTTTGTTTAGCCTCAGGGTGAATCAGGAAGTATCTCCACAGAGCTCATTCTATGGTGGGCAGTAGTTCCTTTTAAAGAGTTGAAACAGATAATAGATCCTATCAAAACTGCCATCAAATTCAGGGGAAAAGAGAAAAGAAAAAAATTAAACCCTAAGCAGCTGTCTGCTCTTTTCCCTGGAGTACTGCATTCTCTACAATGCCCGCATGCTGAAAAATGTTTCTGGATAAGCTTCTTCACCCCACCCCCCACCCCCCACCACCCCGCTAAGGATTTTAGCACTTACCCTGGACTCCCCAACATGTTTCCCCCCCCTCCTGGAAAAACAACTGTATCCTAGACATAAAAGAAACACCTGCCACCCTACGGTGTCTCTGGGGCTTGGGAAGAGTGGTTATTAGAATGAAGTCAGTCAGTCCCCCGGTAGGAAGACAAGAGCCGAGGGACCTGGCTCCACCGTGCTCTCAGCAAGGCACCAGGGGGAGCAAAGTCCCGCCCCAGTACCCTGCGCTGCCAGAGAAGCAAGGAGCATGCAGAGGGGAGGGCGGCATCATTCTTCTGGAGGGAGAAGGGGAAAAGCATTCTGTGAAAGAACCAGAGCTGGGTTTCGACTTCGCCTCTATTTGGAACTCCAATGAGAGTAAAAGCAAATCATAGCGCAAAAGGCAGGACACGACGGGGTCCCTGGGGGTTATTACTGATATTATTATTATTATAGGAACAGATGTATTTTTACTGAGGGGAGAAGAGAGGCCTAACTCCGGCCCTCGCTTTTGCTCCTGTAAAAAGTACTCACCTGACTTTTATTTGCGGCCACTTTGGCGAACAGGGCTTGAGACACCTTGGCTCTTTTCATCTCCTGTTGGATCTCGTCATAAATGGCAGCTGTGATGTTGACGTTGGCGCCGTCCACCTTAATGGGGAGGTCTGTTGTCGGTGTCGAGGTTTTGGCCTACCAAGAGACCATGAAAATAATAATTTAAAAAGCGCTGCATTCAGCCCAGCCATCTGTGCAGAAATTACCAAAGGATTTCAGTCAGCTGATGCCAAACTGCATTAGCTACAGAGGGACACTTCCTGTCCATTATTCTAATCAGGTTAATTGTGATTGGAAATAATTGCAGTGCATTCCTGTAGGACCCACGGAGTCCCGCCAACCCTGTTCCTTCCCGCGCAGCATCCTGCGTGGGTCACAGGTAGGACGGCCACCCGGGGCACTGCCCTGGAAGCAGCCATCGGAAGGCACAGCAAGTGCGCAGTGACCTTTTTCTCTCTGAAAGCAGCATGCCTTGGAGGGAAAGCCAGTGCTTCCAGAAAAGAGAGAGAGAGAGAGAGAGAGTAAATGGGTAGAGGTCTCTAAATAATAAATTATTACTCAATTTAATGCACTCCCCGGAGTCTCTCTCATTCTTTATTAAAGCTTCACGTGTGTCATTCGAGTACGTATGCTTTCCCGTCATTGTCATCATTATGCTACCCAGACAGTCACCTAATTTCACCTAGGAAATCAGTGGAAATGAAACAAAATTTCATTTCATAAAACTAGGCTTCAGAATGCCTTCGATGTGCCGTTTTCATTTTCTTAAACTCATATTATGGTTTTATGTATTCTGCCGTGCTCATTTTAATTGAATGATTTCCCATCCGCTTCAAGACAAATGAAGGGCAATCCAGAAGGTGTCTGTACTTCTTGGGGTTAGGAAAGCCCTAAAACGTTTGCACCTACTTGTCAGAGCTTTTGCTTGGCCCGGGCCCTACAAGCTCTTCCTGTGTCTAGTACATGCGGAGTGGCTAGTCGGCCTACTCAGATCAAAGTCGGCAGGGCTCCAGAAAAGTCTGCCTTGATCCTTGGGCTCAGGAGCACTTCCAGCTAAATTAGTCTACATGAATTATTGGTTTTTCTGCGTGCTTCAAAATCAACCTAGATCTTAAACCCAGAGAGTGGCCCTGCCATCACAGAAAGAAAGGAGTCAGCCAACAATTCCTTGGTGAAGACTCAATGGATTGAGTAGTACCGGGTCTTGAGGAAGATGTAGCAGAGAAGCCTAGGGACTTGGGGACCATTCTCAAGGGTATCTTGAAGCTAGACATCATACCATAACATTACCTAAAGGCTTTGATTCCCGAGGAGGATACCTGCCACTTGCCATTCTCTTCCATGCCTCCCTGACACCATCTCCTAACCACTGCATAGCAAGAACTTGTCAGGTAGGGAATGTTGGTGGTTCAGTGGCAAAATTCTGGATTTCCATGAAGGACCCTTGGGTTCAATCCCCAGCCAAGATATCTCATGTTCAACACCCGTCTCTACGTGGAGGCCTGTTAGGGCCTATGATATTGAACAGGTCTCAGTAGGGTTTCCAGCCAAGGACAGATTAGGAAGAAGAGCCTGGGGATCAGTTTCCAAAAATCAGCCTGTGGAAAACCCCGATGGAGTGCAACAGCTTGATGTCAATCGTGAGGACAGAACAGGACCAAGCACCGTGGCACCGCATTGCCTGTGGGTCGCAGTGAGCTGGGCATCGACGTACCAGCAGCTAACAACATGCCATACTTTCACTGTGCCAGGCGCCGAAGACAAGGTTTTACTTTTGTTATCATGGCTCATTCTTTAAAGACTCCATACGTTAGGAATTACTCATTTTATTTTACAGAAACTGAAACTGAAAATAAAGGTAGACACTGAGCTTGCTGGAAGTACATGTAGCAGCAAATGAAGGTGAAAGAGCCATATTCTGCACCCAAGTCTCGCAGGCTCCAAATGTGGGCTCCCACCACTGTGCTTCCCTGCCCCCGACTCCAATCTTTACTCACTGCCGCTTTGACAAGTGTCCTCTTCCTCTCTGCTTTGGGATTTTTGAATAGTAATCAAATTCTCCTTCTATTCTTCCAATAGCTGTTTTTTCTCTCTCTTTCTCAAAAGTTCTCATTAACCACACTGCTCTCCCTGATAATTGCTCATTGTAGCCTACCATTCTCAAGGCAGGCTTCTTCTTAAGTCACGTAGACAGTGTCTGAGCAGACTGACCTAATCTTCCCTGGGCCCTAGCAGCTGCAATGTCTGCGAAGCAGAGCAAGCTCTGGGAGCAGGAGAACCGAGCTCACATCCTAGCACGCCATCAGTCACATGACCTTACATGACACACGTGGCTTCACTCAGTCAAGCCTTGGTGGCCCATCCATGACACGAGAAAACAACAGACATGGTGAGGGGTGAATTCATGTAACATGCTTATCACAATACTGGATGCAGTATGTGGTCATAAAGAATCACCATTGTCCTTGAAGTGTGCTTTTTTCGGGGGTGGGCGTGGGCGTGGGCATGGGCGAGGGAGTATTGTTTTGGCTCTTAAATTGAGGGTTAAGAAAAGAGACTCCAAGGGTTTAACTTTGGATTGGAGATTTCTTCTAGTTATTTTCAAAGCAGCAACAAAGTGTGAACAGGGTCCGGAAAACAATCTGCCTGATCTATGGGAGGGCCCTGGGCGGTTTGGGTGCTGACTCCAGTGGACAGGCTGAGCCTCGGGGCGGGTCCAGCACTTTCTCTCACAAGGTAAGTTACACTAGATTACTGAGAGGGGGCTGTAAAGAATTGGGGGTAAGTAGGTAAACATAAAATGCTTTAACATTTTTCAATAGCTTCTATCCTCACAGCTTTTCTCAAGCAGAAACAGAAGAATGTTCCAGAGTACCTGCAAATACAGAGGTGCTGACTGTTCTCAAAGGCACATATAAATATTCCATACTTATGCTTGAAAACAAATGATTAATTTCCCTGTTGGATTAGGGGGCTTCAAAGGCTCATGGAAACTGGAATTCAAAGAGAATGAAAAATTCCATGCAATTTTATAAGACACTCCCTCGTATTTCTCCCTAGAAGATGCCTTTATCTAGGGATTTTTTTTTTAGATGATATTTTCTGCTCTTTAAGAGAAGCAAAATACTGACCCTAATTGATCTCATAAAGTGATCTGGCTCTGAAAGCTAGCTGGTCTTCAAAAGGGTGCCTAAAATGCAATCTTGTTAGAAAAATGTTTTAAAGGAGCTAAAACCAAAATACACTGACCTGCATTAGTTTCTAACAAGTAGACATACATTTCTGAGCAGCACTACCAGATGAAATGGCCATGAGGCATGTCTGAGCTCTCCTAAGACAGGGGCTTCAAAAGTAGTAAACATGCTGGTGAATTGTAAATTTAACCAGTCACCCAACTCAGTAACTAGATGTGCTTCTGTGCTCCTCACTCAATGTCTGCTTCCCCGACCCAGCGCAAATAAAATATGTGGCCTAACACGAAGCTCCATAACGAAGCGAGGCCTTGATATCTGGTGACTTCAGGGCACCGCGAGAGTCCTAACTGTAAGTTCCCCTCCCTACTTGCTCCCATGCATATGGTTTCCTACCAGAACACCTCTCTTTAGCAGACAAACCAATCCTGTTGCTGCTGCAAGGTGCCATCAAGTCAGTTGACCCATAGAAGCCCTTTATACAATCGAGCTTAACACACCCTTGTCCTGTGCTGTCTCACAATTGTTCTTATGTGTGCGCCCATCGTGACAGCCACTGTGCCAATCCATCACACCCAGAGTCTCCCTCTTTTTTCGCTGCCCCTCCCCTTGACCAAGCCTAGTTCCTGCTTACCCCCAGCATCGCTCTCAGGTTCCTACTGGTCTGTGGAATTATTCAAATAAGCCAATCACAGCCTCTTGCAGGAAGCAGGGCAGTTCACCCTCTTGTTACCTCAAAGCTTGCTCCTCACCACCTCTGCTTGTTCAATCTGTTCCCAAATGCATGGTGTGCAATGTCCCTTAAGACCCCAAGCTATGAGTCTATGTGGCTAATCCACTGCTGTGAGTTTCAGGTGTCCAGCTTCAGACGTCCTGTGCTCTGCTATCCCCGTAACCTACGGGGAAACAGCTACCAAGCCAGAAATGATAGGACTCAGATCTGCATTGGAAATGAAATGACTCCCAAATGCCTTGAGACCTTGATCCTCTAGGCCAGATACTTGACGTACACCGAATTTCCAAAGGGCCAGAAATTTTTATTTTCTAAAGGTGGGATGCTATGTCATCGTGTACCATGGGGAGATCACTCTGGGGAAGGAAATAATTAAGACCTACGCTTCCACTAGCATCCCTGGGTAGTATAACATGGTTAGTGCGTTCAGCTGCTAACAAAATGGTCAGAAGTTCAACACTACACAGAGGTACCTTGAAAAAAAAGGCTTGGTGCCCTGCTTTCAAACTCAGCCATTGAAAACCCTGGACCACAATTCTATTCTGCTATGCCTGGAACTGTCATGAGTCCCCACTGACTCCATGTCAACTCGTTTTACCAGTTGTAACCTTCCCACGATCATTTTCTCAGGGCTCACTAAATGGTAGCCCAGGTGCACTGACATAGCCCTTGCGCATGCGGGCCTCATGATGCACAAGATTCTTCCCCCTTGGTCCTCACCAGGTTGCACACAGCAGACCTTGGATTTCCCTTCCGTGCTCTGCTCCCAATCACCCTCCTCCACCTGACATGAACGCACGCACGGAGGGTTTAAGGAAAAGCAGCGTGCTTGCCTTGCAAAGGCTTACCCAAGTCTCCTAACTAAGGAAGATCAATTAAGGAGCTACCTGAAGACCCTCTCGAGCCCCTGGGGCTTAGAAGACGGGACTTCCCTCTGGGGCAGAAATGGGATTCAATATAATATGGAATAGTCACTATTGCGTGGTCAGGGATTGGTCTTTCCCAATCAACACGGTGGTTGAAGTAGGAAACCCGTGAATGGTGTCCCTTGGTTTTTAGAGAGAAAACACGGAATCCGTGAAGGCAAGCTGTTTCCAAGGCAAAGAGTGAACAGGCAGAGGCGGACGTATCTCACCTGGGGGGTTCGGGAGGAGCTGGGACTGCTAGAGGCCGACGAGACCATGCTCACATTGGGGTTCATGCTCCGCTCTCGCTCATCCTGGTAAATGCGGTCCCGCTCCACTTCGGGCAGATTGAGAAAATTCTGCATAGCCCTCAGGTTTACTAAAAGAGACTGAGAGGCCGTCCGGGGGTCTTCTTCCTTACGCAGAATCTCAGACAACAGTCCCTGATTAATTGTAAAAAGAAGGAGAAGAGAAAGGCCAAGTCATATCTTTAAAGATATGCATGTGATTTCCATCTTCCACCCTCCTCCCTGCCTTGATTTGTTTCCTTATAACCAGCTGGGCTGTGATGTCAGGAACCTTGGCCTCATCCCCACCACCACCCCACCACCCCGGTTTTTCTAGCAAGAAGACCTGGTGAGAGTGGCTGTGCCTCCTGGGGCCAGCACCCGATTTGAGGACCTTTCGATTCTGACACTATCAGTGAGACAGAGGTGCCAACAAGCCAGGTAGGCGCTTGGGAAGAATCATGAAACTGCATTACCACCAGGTGCCGCCTACACGCATTTCTAGGGCTGTTAGAACTCGCTCTGCTTGAGACTGGGAACACGTGTCAGTCCTGCTCAGCTTTACAAATCTGCCAAGTTTTGGGTAAATTTAGTTCCGACATTTAAACAGCATGGGAGATTTACATTGATTAAAAAAAAAAAAGTTTGGCTGAGTTTCTGTGTGGCCGGCCACTGTGTTTCAATGTGGATGTTTCTCATCCAGCAGGAGAAAGGAGGAGAAAAGACAAAATACAAGTGGATAAAACGCAGGCTAACCATCTGCTAACTTCTCCGTCCACACACCAGCCCTCCCTGCGGTCCCTGCATATGCACTGCGGAGCTCCCAACTCTTTCTGGGATGCCCTCTTGGAAGATGCTCGACTGCCACCAGGAAGGCCATGCAGGTGTCGTCACACCCAGTGGGGGGCTGGAGGGCGCTGTGTGTGCTGAGGATGCCATGATAGGCGCAGATATGCTCCGAATGTGTGTGTAGTCACCCAAACAGAAAGTTTGAAAATGCAGATCAGGGTTGCATGCGCTCCGATGACAGCGACTGCACAAGAGGAGGAAGCAGTCAAGCCTGGAGAAAAGTCTTCAGGATTCAGCAGAAATGGGCTGGAGATCTGAGCGGGAGAATCCTAATACTTTGGGCCGATCCAAATCCACCTCCATTCTGCACGCTTGTTAGATTATCACAGAGAGGCTGGCTTTGCATTCCCAGTTAGAACCCTGTGCCAGCACTAGGAGCTGAGAGACTAATGTGATGGTCCCTTGGGAAGAGGAGATGTTAACCCTGCATTTCAGAACGAGGGGCAATTCCAAGTCATGAGCGGCTATGTCTGTGAGCAGCAGGAAAACGGTACTGGCGCGTGCGCGCGCATGCACGCACGCGCGCACACACACACTTTCTCCCGAGAAGATGAACGAAAAGGAAATGCTACCAGATTCCTGTAATGTGGCTTAAATGTGGGAAGATATTGGATGCACAAGGACTGTAGGGAATTTTTTTTAATAAACTGATACATTGTGACTCAGCATAAGGAGTTTCATTTATAGGAACATTAATTCCACAGTTCTCCACCCTCCAAGGAAGAATTCGCCCCTCACAACACCGTGTGAGACACTCTGGCTGTCAGAACCTACGAGTGGCCCATCATCGGATAACCCTGCACCTGGGATGTTAGGCGATTTTGATGAGAGAAATCCTAATTAATTCTTGGTGGAAGCATTGGTGCTGATGTGAATCTTGCTAGAGAAGGCTAGGGGTGGGGGTGGGGTTAGGGTGGGGGTGAGGGGGGGTGTGTTTCACTCAGGATTGTCAGGATGGGAATCAGAAGACCTTTGGGGCAAGTGATCGAGTAACTCTCGGCGTCCTGGCCGGCTTTCAGAAACACGCGAGGCCCTTGCCATCCGGAACATGCTACAGGATCTAGGGACCGATTCTCTTCCTGAAATTGGAAGTTGGTTCTGCCTATGTTCCACTTCCACTAAGTGACCTGAAGGGTTCCAAATGGGTCCTTTTGTTTCCAGCATAAAACTCCCCAAATTAGTATGTAGAAAAGCACTAGTGAAATGAATTTAAACTATTAACAATTTCCAATAGCAACAAGATGCTACTAAAATTGCTATTTTCAGATTTTTTGCTGGTAAACCTTACACATAAAGAACGAGCCTTTCTCCTTACCTCTTCCTTCCCCTGTCTAGTACAACACCTTAGCATTTTAATGTATCTTAGATTACCAAAATTTGGAGTTGCTTTCAGATTTACCTAGATGTATATTTATAGCATCTATTATGCTATATTATATTTAAATGCTCCAAAGGGAAAAATCTATGAATGTATCCTTCCTCCCATGACATTGTCATCATGAGTTGAGAATTACATCGAAGACCTTGTAGAGAGAACAATAAAAACGATTATGAAACCCACAACCTTCCTCCAGTTCTTGAACGCTTCCTCCCCCCAACTACCAGGACCCCAATTCTGCCTTGCAGACCTGGCTAGACCAGATGATGCACAGCGG